TCCACGTTGTAAGCGTTCACGTTTGCGTGAACAGAGAGTAACTGTTTCTCCCCCTCCCCCTCTGGTCCTTTCCAGAGCAAATGTGTCAAGTACTGGCCCGATGAGTACTCTCTCAAAGAATACGGGGTCATGCGTGTTAGGAACGTCAAGGAGAGTGCCGCTCACGACTACACGCTACGAGAACTTAAACTGTCGAAGGTCGGACAAGTAAGTATCCTGTCGTATTGCAGAGGCCCCGGGGACCTGTAGTTTGCTGTCCCCGTGGTCATGTCCGCTCCTTGATGGAGCCACCATTTACCAAGTGCCCTCCTGGTGTCTTGGTCAGTTCCAGGGGTACCTTGTGAATAAGATGCGTCATCCCTGCCTGCCCGCACAGGGTTCCCGGGGAGACGGACGATTTACCCAGTAAATAGCCAAGGGGGCTCGGGGCTCTGCAGGCCTCCCAGGGTGGTGTGTGTGTGAGAGAGGGCTATGCCTACCTCCCCCTGAGGAAGTGACACTGCAGGAGGCCGAGGTCTGAAGGTGGAGTCCCCAGACAGCCAGAGAGTCGGGAGAGGACAGGTCCAACTAGAGGGGCAGCAAGTGCAAAGGCCCTCAGGCCGGTGTGGTGGTGGGATTCCGTTTCATCAGCGCCATCATTGCCCCTAATGGAGCACGGGTCTTGGGGTGACTGAGTTCCCAAAGCAGGGATAGGCTTGGCTTCCCTCGAATGTGTGTGTGTGTGTGTGTGTCTGTGTTTTATCTGTGCATACTAGTCAGAATCTTTGGGGGACCAGAGATGCATGAAATTGTGTCTCCTCACCAAACAAGGACCGTCCCACCCTCCCAGAGTGTGCACTCTGCTGGCAAGGCGTTCATTAGCTTGTTGGTGACCCACATCGGTATGTCAACATGAACCAAAGGGGTCTAGGCCGGAAAAGTAACTGGGGGGAAAAAGGCAGCGCCCTGAGGGGCCTCAAGCAGAGCAGAAGGGAAGGTTCTCAGGACCTAGTGTAACGAGCCGTTCTTAACCTGTGGGTCACGACCCCCTTGGG